GTGTTTCCCAACCCCCTCCGACGGCGTAACAACCGTATAATGATCCATAATAAGAAACGCATTTCGTCCTCGAAGGGTTTTTGATGGCACGGTAAAATGAAGACAAGGGACTGGCTCTCCGGTCGGTCGCCATTACGATCCCTTTCCCTCCCCGTCGCGTCTCCTCGCGAAACGAGTATCTTCTACGGCCGCGGGGGTGGACGAGGACGTAATGCGTCCGCCGTTTACGAGTTAGCCGGATCCATGGAACAGCTTTTTTCGCGAATGGTACATCGATGTCGCGAAATAGCACGACTGTAAGAAAAATTGGGTTAGGGAATTTTTAACGAGCAAGTGACTGCGCGCACGGTTACGAGACTTTTCCTATATTTAAAGGGGACTTCGAGGTACGCGTGAAAAAATTATCAGCTCGAGGAATTCGTTTCTCGATAAGATGCAAGAAATCCCCCGAGGATCTCCCGATTTGTTCAAAATTAACGGGCCGTTCCACGCGTGCCGTCTGCAGGAATTTTTATCCGCTAAACCGCTCGGCGTAAGAGATTAAAACTTTTCGCGCATTTAGACGGTGCTTCAAGGAAGATGTAGAAAAATATTCAGCCCTCTGGACCGATCTTTCCGTAAGATGCGAAGGAGAGAGCAGGTCCGAGCGGAAGCGCTGGATTTTCCGTTCTGCGCCGGTCGACGATGTCGCGATGTCGGAGAAAAGCTCCGAAGTTGGCGGCGCTGGGGTGGCCGAGGGTCGCCGGGGGTGCTGGAGCATCGCAAACAGAGAGATCCCTGTCTCGTTAGGTCCGAACTTTCCGTCGCAATCAGGCCTCGTTCCGGCGTGTCGCAAGCCTCGCAAACCTCGCAAGCCTCGCAAGAGCGAAAAGAGTGGCGCAAACGGGGCCGGAGAACCCTTTTAACCGAGGGTTCGTTACTCGGGGCTCGTGACCCGGTTTTAATTAAATGTACTCACGCGCGCGTGATTGCGTGTGCCGCCTCTGTAACACACGGTGTCCTTACGTGACGCGCCCTGTGCCCTGTGCCCCGTGCCGTGTCGTCACGCGATCTTCCGCGTACACGCACTGCGAGGACCGTAAATTCGCCCACAACGTTCCGAGTAAAATAAAGCCTATCGAAACGTGTTCGCAGGTCGGAGGAAGCGGCGCAGGTCAATTTACGGTCGGCCAGAGCAGAATGCGGCTGTTCGCGGTCGGACGAACGTGGCCAGGAAGAAGTAGAATAAGTCCACTCGTGGTCGGGCGAGGCTCGAATACCGGTGCCCATTGTCGGAGGATGATACGGTGCTTCCATCGCTGATTAAAGAGCCCAAAGACAAGTAGAACTATTCTGCCCAAGATCGATCATCCAACCGAAACGAAAATATAATAATTCTGCCCGCGGTCACGGGACGGTAGAATATTACCACTTGTGGACAGACAAATGGCACGCGGCCGCAGTAGATTAGGTTCGCCCCGACTGCGACAAATAGTTGTCTGGATAAAACATGTTTATAGAAGAAACAATTGTTACAACTGCGATTCGCGTATCCTACTGTGATATGTATGGAACTGTAGAAAACTTTAGGTATATATAATTCGATGAGATCGAGCTCCAGAATTAAACGACACTCGCTGCTTTCTCATTACGATGAAAGGTTGTATTTATTTCGATCATTTTCTACGATATAATTTTTATGATTTCAACAACGTTGAATACAAAAAACATGAAATTGTTCGTTCCGATTGGTAGGTTTAGTAGCGTCGATCAAGAATGATTCGAGCAGGGCCAGTGCGCGCATTGTCGATAAATTGCAACGAGCAGGACCCGAATATGCAATATCTCCGCAGAATCCCTGTTGGAGGTATCGCACAGCCGGTTGATTCGGCGCCGGCCAATCGAGAGAAAAGCGAACGACAAAATGTTCCCATCGAATGCAAATTAATTTCGAGGTTCCCGGAATCGCTGCGAGGGGACAGAGGACACCGGGAACATTGCTCGGCACGTTGCACGATCGCCGGGAAGAGTAGCTCTCGAGAGCAGGAGGAGGAAGCAGCCGGAGGCTGATACGTGAGGGGAATAGCACGGTGTGCCGAGGAGTAGCATGAGAAGCGGAGGAGAGCAGAGGAGAGGAGAGGAACTCGTGTTCCCGGGCAACAGTCATTGTGCTTAGAAGTAGCTTAAGCTAATTGTGAGAGCCGCCCTGGGAATTTCTCTCGCACGGCTAATGGGGCGGAGCCGGAGTGGCTCTTCAGGACGCTATCGTGCTCGAGCTGATTAAGTGCGCCGTGGACCGATGTCAGAAGACGATAATTTGCATCCGGATTATGTCGCCGTGCCTCCTCGGGACGCGCCCGATGCACCGGGATGCACCGAGATGAACCGGATGCACGCGGGTGCTCTCCTCGAGACACGTAAAACCTGGCCACTCGACGACTCGGCTAACCTAGAATCAAATCGCGGTCTGGCGCGACTAATCGTTGCTCGCGGATCGATTACTATTCTCCGCTGTTCTCTCTCTTCCTCTCTCTTCGTCTTTCTCCGTGACGAGCGTCCGCGATCGGCTGTGCCGCGGAACGATAAAACCAAGCGCCTCTTGCGCTGTTAGTATTATTATTTTTACCGTCGGCGTATCGCGCGCGCGGAATGCTCACGTCGGATGTACACGGGTTAACGGTGATGTCGTGACCTGGATGTTCAGGACGTTTCGATGCGCCGTTACGCTGCTACGTGGCAGGAATTCGAGCCGACTACCTTTCGGCTATCGTCCTGGCCTGCTTGTCCGGAAGCGGCTCCGTTGACCACTCCATGGATGCTGTCTCCGTGCCCAGAGAAACTGATATATCTCACAGGGAGGTAGAATCGTTCGATCTCTCATCGTGGAGAAGAGTTGCGCGGTGGTCGGCCGAAGTAGAAGAGAGATTGCGATCATAGAACAGCGATGTATCGGTCCGAAAGTACGATGCTTCGAATCCATCGGAACGATTTCGTGAAAAGTAGGAGTATAGTAATGTCTCCCTAACTGACGCTTAGATTGTGCAGAAAAATGGACAATGTGGGAACAGAAGATACAATTATTCCGGCTTTGCACCATGTTCTTATAATCGTTGACAATCGGTAACTATAAAAACAAGTCGCAAGGCTCGAATTCGCAAGGCTCTTCTTCCCAAATTGTCCATTTTTGTGCGCAATCTGAGCGTCAGTTAGGGAGACATTGCTGTATCTTGTCGCAGATCGAACGAACCGGCGAGCTAGCCTCGATTCGTGGGAATCGCGTATCGTGTGCAATAGGTTATCAGGGAAACGGTTTTAATCGGAGTCAGAGCTCGGGCCAGGGAGCCGTTCGAACGAGTAACGAGGGCAGCTTGTTAATTCCCGCGGGAGGCGAGCAACGGGGAAAACACCGGTAAACAATTCGCGATAAATCGCTAAATACGATCGCGGCGAGTCTCCTCCGCTCCTCCTGCACCTCCTGCACCTCCTGCACCTCCTGCTGCACCTCCTGTTCCTCCTTGCCCGCGACTCTCGGCGCCCTCGTTTAAACCGTGCAGCGTTGCTCGTTTAAAGCCGGCCATTCGTATTAATTATTCCCACGTCGACCTGATTAACGAGCTCACCCGCGCAATTTGTAGTCACGCTCGCGACCGCTCTAATGATAATATAGCTCCGCCATAGAGACAGCGAGGTGGGAGAGATGAAAAAGGCGAGCGGGATCGCTCGGTTGGTACCCCAGACACCATTGATCTCTCGAGCTATGCGATTCGGAAATCAACGGTGAGAATTATGCCGATCGCATCTTCGAGAAGCTCGCATCTTCGATGTTAGCGTCGACCCGACTTTCGCGCGTTCAACGGAGCATCGAATTGTTCTTCGCGAGAACGGAGGATAAACGGAAAAATGGAAGAACGGGTTGCGCGTTCGCGATACTTATTCCGCAGGCCAGGGGATCGGTAAACTGGCGACGAGAAAGTAGAAATAACGAGTCACTGGCGGACAATAAAAAAATAGAAAATACGACAGTTTGCGACTGCGAAGTGCGCAATTCCCGCAAGACGCAGCCGCGAGAGAGCTGCGAGACGGTTTCCCTGCATCTTCTATGCCGCGTCGTGCCGCCTCGAGAGAGGAAGCGTGTTCGTTTAAAATATGACGCGCAGGTTGCTTTCCTTCCAGAAAATCTTTCACGCCTGCCAGCGTGTGCACGGCGTCGTATTTTTCTTCCAGGGACATTACTTAGCATCGCGGTGTCTGCGCGGGCCGAGCGGGTCGCAGTCGAGTCGAGTCGGGCCGGGTCGGGTCGGGTGCGGACGGGCTGGGTTTATATACCGCTATGTAGCGGTGTAAACATACCGGGAGCGGATCGATTTATGCAGCTAAGTAAGTGCATTTTTATGCACCGTTTCACAGCCGAGACGAGCAGCCTTGCAACGAGTCACTTCGTTTAACGAACGACCTATATAACCAAAGCGTCGCGACGCGACGCTCGCGCACCTCCCTCGCCCTGAAACACCCTGTACCCGCGCGTCAAATCGATTCATTCGAGAATTCGAGGTCCGCCAACGTCTTCTCGCTTCTTCGAACTGCCTCGGTACCATTCGGTAGTTTTCGCCTCGCTGTTCCTCGGATCACATTTTATGAATCGGTATACTCTATATCCGCGAAAGTAGACCTTTGTCCTATACAAGCTGAGTCATCTAACCTTCGTACCTGGAATATCCTCGTTGCTTTTAAAGACACGTGAAATGTCTTGGAGGTCAGAGTTGAACGGCTTAGAAGGCACGCACCGTGTCGTAAGAACCACTACTATTTTTATGTAATTTTGTTCAGCGATATCAAGGTCAATTACTCGCACTGCTATTCTCTCGATTTCCACGAAAGTACAGTAATGTCTCTATAATTGACGCTCGGATTGTTCACAGAAATGGACAATTCGGGAAGAGGAGATGCGATTATTCGAGCTTTGCGGTTTGTTTTTATAGTCACGAATGGTCAACGATTATAAAAACGAGCTGCAAGGGTCTCCTCTTCCCAAATTGTCCATTTTTCTGCACAATCTGAACGTCAGTAAGGGAGACATTACTGTAGAATGATTTTTATCGTGTGCGCAGAGTAACCTCGATTATCCAACGTCGGAATATATTTCACAGGTGAGAACACGAATCCAAAATGACCCACAAATGCGACCCAGAACAGAATTAATTAATAACAATTGTTTCATAATACAAGCAACAACAACGAGCTCCGAATGGTACGGATAACCGAGGTTCTGCGAGTTGAACGAGAGGGCGGCCGATTTGCGGCGGTCAAAGCTGGTTAAGTCGCCGTTAGCGCATCGTCGCTAAGTAAGTGCGAATTAACGTTTGCGCGTATATGAAAGGCAGTGAGAGAGACAGAGAGAGAGAGAGAGAGAGAGAGAGAGAGAGAGAGAGAGAGAGAGATAGCAGAGCTAGAATCGGGAAACGCAAAGCCCCTAATCAGCGGAGCCGCAACCCGTCATAATCCCGTGTCGATTGCCGAGAGTCGACCGGCGCGCGGCGTCGACGTTTCCGGCGGAATTTTGGAATTTGCTGCAACGACGTTCCCGAGACGGTCTCCTTTGCCCGGTCGGCGCTTTAATCACCGCGTCTCTTAATCATCTTGCACGGACAATTAATTGGAAGCTAGGTTAAATTCGAGGTTGAATTGTTTTATTCGCTTTTGCGAGAACGCATGCTTTTGGGGGAATGAAATAATGCCTTTATTTACTACATAATTTCACGAGAAAGTGTACAGAATAAACAATTTACGAATAATTTAATAGATTGTATACAGAAACGTTGAGCGATTGATCGAACCAAATGAATCTTTTAGAACAGCAACTCGCATCGACAACGAGAGAGCGCGGAGTTCGCGCTCATCGCGGCTGGATGCGCGCGTGTCCGCGTAATTAGTGGGTTCTTGGTTGACGCAGTTGGCTCTCTTTCCTTGTGATTCGCCGATGAGATCGGCAGCACGCATAATTAACGCGATACGGAACGCAAGTCCTGTCACCTGTATTTCGGAATACCGACGCGGCGTGGATCGTTTGAAATATGCAGTGGACACCGCAGCCCTGCTGCAATTAGTCAGCCTGTAATCTCATTTCGGCCGTTGCGGAGACAACGCTCGCGTTACGATCACGTTGTCCGTAATTTCGCCTAATTTCGGTTCCGAACAGGCCGGTGGTCCGGTTCGCCGTTATTTTATTCCGCGTCGAACGACCGTCGGTCACGGAAAATCATGCATTTACAGTAATGTCTCCCTTACTGACGCTCAGGTTGTGTACAGAAATGGACAATTTGGAAAGAGGAGATACGATTTTATTCGAACCTTGCGACTCGTTTTTATAGTTGTTGACAATCGATAACCATAAAAAACGAGCAACAAGACTCGAACAATCGTATCTTCTCTTCCAAAATTGTCCATTTTTGTGGGCAATCCGAGCGTCAATTAGAGAGACATTACTGCTCGTTGGTCACCTGGACGGCGTCTTTCAGAATGCCCAAGTAAAATGCCGATTAACCCAATTCTCAACGCAAGTCCATCGCGAACTAGGAAAGGAGTTTTCGTTTAAAGATAAATTACCGCGAGAGTCGTATGCACAATGCGCGCGCTTTCGAGCCAGATAGAATTTTTCTCCGGCTCGGACGGCCGGTCGGGTTAATTAACGAAACTAATTTAAGTGTCCGGTGAAAGGAAAAGCCCCGCGAAGCCAAGAATTTGACGGGGCTCGCGGAAACGGAGGAGTTCGACGCGGCGAGAAAGTCCTCGGAGACTTTTCTCGGTTTCGAAAAGACCAACGGTTAGGGTCGCGCACTCCACAGAAAACTCCCCGGAGTCCGAGGAGAAAAGGAGTACGATCTATCAATTTTCTCGTAAGAAGAAGCCGATCAACCGGAAAGCCGCTGCCACGAGACACTATTGATCCAGCCGCGCAGGTTAATACTGGCATTAGCTAAAATAAAATTTATCGAGGAAAGGGCCTGCGCGGCGCGCCGTTCCAGCGAATCATTTTCCGATAACGCGTTCTCGGCCCTGAACCTTCCCGTCGAATATTTACGTAGTCGTTTTCTTTTCGATCGCGCTCTCTCCACGCTTTCCTAGGCAAACGGGGTGGACATTGAAATTGCCCTACTTCGAAACGGCAATTGCTTCTTTTTCCTCTTTACAAGCTTCTATTTGGCCTCGTTTGTTTACTTTAAACATCGAACCTGTTATTCGAACACCGTGTCTATATCATTCCTCTTTGAGAACTTTCTGCTATTAAACCGAACAATCGATTTTCTCGAAACTTTGCGGACATGTTTGTACAGGTCTGGACTGCTCCGCTCAATTTTTATGCTTCGCCATCGTAGAAACTCTCATGGTTATTCATCGCGAAAGTAGGCCACTCTTAACGAAACTTTACGAATCGTTTGGAGAAAGTCTTATTCTTTGTTGAATAATTGTCATTCTACTTTCGACGATAATCGACGCACGAAAATTCATAAACGCGGTACAAACGTGTCTAAACGAGTCTCCAAGGTTTCAGAGATGCATATTAGATCGGTCTCTCCGAGAAAAATTCCGAAAGTCCAGGAATTTGTCCTGGAAAAGTCCTGGAACTGCCAGGCTTGGCAGTAGTGTAGCCCGGTGTGTGGTCAGACCCGGCGTCGGCCCGTCGAAAAAGCTGTTTCCCCTCGATAGGGTCGAATCGTAGAATCGGTCGGCAGTCGGAAGATTGCCACTTGTTGCTGAATTATGCAAAGCGTTCGCGGCACGATGGAAAACGATACGGACGTCGATATTTAAACGGCCGTGCGTTCTCGCGACGTAAACGACCGTCGTCGACGGAGCTGTTTCGAGAAAGCGGATCTAAATTCCGACGAACACCCTCCGCGAAGCGGGTTAAAGCCAGCTGTTACTGCAAATTCTCTCTGTAGCGTCTTCCGCGGATCGTCGCGCGTGTATTCGCTGTAAATACAAGTTAATTGGAAGCCGAGAAAACTTGTTTCCGAAGTGTCCGTGTACAGCGTGTCTTGCACGCTGCTGCAACGTACTATCGTCGTTGTCGAACATTTCGGAGCGTTCGCAACGACGAATCAACGAGCCGGAAACGACGATGAAAATTTCTCGATCGAACGGTGTCCGCATCGTTTCCGCAGGACCGTTTAAAATTCCGTTTACCGACAAACGGTAGGAACGTGCCGCCTAACAGTTCCGTTTTGCCTGGTGTTTCAGTATGCGGGGACATTCACGGCCAATTCTACGACCTGATGAAGTTATTCGAGGTGGGCGGACCACCCGCCACGACCAAGTATCTCTTCCTCGGCGATTACGTAGACAGGGGTTATTTCAGTATCGAGGTAAGTCCTTTGTTCAACTTTCGGATGCCCGATTGGCCTACAAGCATCGGGAAAAGTAACGTAACACGCCCGTCTCTTCCGCCTGCGATCTGAATTCGATCGAACCGTTTCTTCGAGTCTGCCATTTTTATCGCGAGAAATCTTCGAAGACTTTGGACCGTCTCGGTAGAATTGATTTTAATCAGCTTAGAATACCGATTCAACGGAAATCGCTTCGAGCGACCCGCGTTCGCTGTCAAAAGCTCGTTAAATTCATTAGTGATCTAATTGATCGTTGAAACGGCAGAAGTTCCGAGAACAATTCGTCTATAAACGCGAAACCGAAGTTATAATAAATCTGTTAACGCTTTATCTTTTAAAGTCGAAGAGCAACTGAAACTACAACGAATCCATCGAATGATTTCGATTAGTATAACGTAACTAATTCTTTCGAAATTAGTATTCGCAGGCGTTTATAAAGCGTTAACAAAGACTTGATCGAAAGCAAAAGCATTACAAAATTAATAAAATACGATATTCGGCTTCTCGCGCGTGCTTCCGATATCGAAACGGTTGAAACGCGGATCGTCGCCTGTAGCAATCGGGAAAAAGCTCGCGAAGCTTTCGTTTGGCCTTCGTTAATATCTCCCTTGTTTCCATTGTTATTAAAGAAAAGAACACACGTTCGCGCAGACACAGAGAAATTGAAGCGCCGCGCCGCGGCGCTACGAAAGCGACGGGCACACGGAAAATCCACGAGTCTCGGGCTCGGCTAATTACCGAGCCTACTAATTAGCGATGCGCTCGGTTAATCATCAATTAATGCTCCCTTCGTTTATCTTCCATCGCGCGGATCTGACGGGGAGCTTCCGAATCTTGCTCGAAACGTTCGACACGCGGACTTTTCAGAGGATTTTCCGCGGACTTTTCAATCAAGCAAGCACCTTTAAATTTTTCAAAGGTTTCTGTTGTTTCATGTTTCATCTACTAAATTGTGTCGCAAATGCAACGTTCGGCTCGAGTTTCCCACGAGAGCAAGCGAGTAGAAGTTCGCCGGCGATTTTCCGGCAGCAGAGGAGCGGAGAAGCGACGCCTCTTCCCGTGGACAGGTCCGAAAGTAGTTTAGCGTTGTCGAAGGATCTGTCCGAAGCTCGGATAAAGAAAGAGAATGCCAGCAGCCGGGTGCTGGCAGCTCGAGGCGAGGCGAGGCGAGGCAGAGCGAGGCGAAGCTCGGCGATCGATACTCTCTATCCGCAATATGCTTCGCTGGATTCTTCGAGCCTGGCGAGGAGAGATTCGCCGGGATTTCTCCGTGGAACGTGCACGCGTTCCGCGAGGATTTTCATTTTCTGAGTGAAACGGCGAGGCGAGGCAAGACGAGGCGAGGCGAGGCAGGGCGAGACAAGGCGCCGCAGAATCCGGAAGAAATGAAGAGAGGAAACCGAGAGAACGGCGCGCTGGAAAGATGGGATTATGAGCGAATTGCTGCGGGAAAGACGAAGCCGAGTGGAATGTTTAGATTACAAACACCGGGGAACCGAAGATGAAAGATAGGGGACGGCAGAATCAACCGGAAAAATGGATAAAACCATCCGACTTCTGCTTCGTTCTCCGCCCAGAGAAATCGTGTCGCTCGAGAAACACGTGGCAGCTCGATTTTTCTCGCGATTTCTTAAGAACTTCGGTTTGTCCGAACCGACCACGGGTGACGCGAGCGTTCGGATAAGGAAACAATTGCTTAGCTACAACCTTCGAATAAATCGTTATTGATTTTTACGATAAATAAAGCAGCGCGCGGACCGACGTTGCCTCGTCGTTTCTTAAAACGTACCACGGTAGACGATGCCTGCATCGGTGTTCCGATAATCGCAGTCTCGATATATTTCGTCTAACCATGGTACTCATTGCCATAATTTGCAGAACAGGGGCTCGATTTCGTCCAAGCGAAGGCTCGTATTTAACGAAAGCTCGCCTGTATAATGCTTCGCGTAAATACCCGACGCGTTCCAGGCGCGCGAAATAATTCGCGTTGCTTCGAAACGAACGTAAAATGATTAGGCGTTTGCCATTAGGTGTGCTACCGGCGCCGTTCCCCGACCGACAGAAATCTATGGCAGCACTTTGGCACTCAGGTGTGTGTGCTCGCGAACGAGTAACTCGGCGAAGCTTCGGTTCCGGTGCCCGAAGATGAATCGGGTCTCCCGGTTTTCGTTTGCGGAAGTGTAAGTAAATTGGGTTCTTACGGTGGCCTGGGTTCGAGTGCGCACTCGGCATTTCGATGATTTCGAGTGCACCAATGAATCCGCTCGACCCGGAGCGCACTTGTCTTCGGAGACACGATTTAAATTGGAAAAACGGCCCGTCGAGAGACCGCTTCCGGGGAAAATTGGGTCGAAGACGAGCCACGCGGCTAGGTGTTCGGAATGCTAGAAATAGCTGGGAGAGCATGTTTGCGAACGGTGCACCGCGTTTCAAAAAGTACGTTCAAGAACGGCGGAAATAAATGGATCGAAACAACCGAGGGCGCGAAAGATCGCCGAAAATCCACGATTCGCGGATCGATCCGTCGACGACCGGGAGACATTCATTTTCGGCGAGAAACAACGATCTCATCGATCGTCGAGCGAAACAATAACGAAAACCGGCGTCGAGCGATTTCACGCGAACGCCGCGCGCCGTGTCTTTTGTCCGCGGTGGAAACAAAGGGTAGCGCGGGAAAATTACCGGTGGCTGGGATCGTCCCCGATGACTCGGTTGATTAATAGAAATCCGAAAGCCGATCGGTGCTCGGCTCGACGCGGCTCTGCGTCGGCATTGTCCGGGCTCGTTCCGGGATTATAAGCGAGCGGTTCGGTTATCCGCGTCTCCATTACGCGTTATCATCGCGCGATAGTCCATTTACGTTCGATCGGGTGGCCGACACGGGACGACTCTGCTTGCACAGAGAACAGAGGACTCGTGGCAGGCTGCAGGCCAGTCCTGGGAATAAGAGTCTCGTTGTCAGACGGTGCTGAGATTTATCGTTGTTGGCAGACGGTCGGCGTGTCTTGTCACTCGAGCGAGCCAGACGTCGTGGGTGGCGTTAGTCATCTCGTTGCGTCTGGTTCGTTTGTTTTAATTAAATAATAGGCAGGCCAGACGGAGGCGGAACCAACTATGGCGGGAGCGCGATAGTTGCGCCGCGGATTTTTCTTCGGGGTCCGTCGCGACCCGGTGTACCAGCCGTTTCATGTAAACGGTCGTTGCATCGGCGATGGCGTAATCCTGACGGCGGTGAAACTCGCGAGGCGAGTTTAACCAACCGAGGTATAAATTTCGGCGACGGAAAGGAGCAGTAATTCATCCGATGATCGCGACCATGCTCGTCCAATAAAACAAGCTTCTCGCAGAACTCATTATATCGGGGATGGAGAGGGAACAATGGCGACGCTCGGAGCTGGTAGCGCATTCATAGCCACTTATGCGATTGTTCCCGGGCAGGGATACGCGACGCGTACCACCTCTCGCGCATTAATACTACACGTGATACCCGCATTCGAAACAAGCCGTTAATGTATACACAATGAATAAAAGATGCGTCTCTCTCTCTCTCTCTCTCTCTATCCTCTTCTCTTCTCTCTAGAGCAGAGCCGCCCTCTCTCCGCGAACTCTGTCTCCCAGCATTCGATATCGATTCGACGACCGCGGCCAAGTTTCTAACGATCGTTTACCGCGTGCGTCGCGCCGTGACTGCGCATTTTTCGCAAGTAAATTGTAGCGTGCGCGATTAAACGCGAACGAGTCGCGAGCATTATTCGCTTCGGCGAACGAATCTGTATGCTTTACAGAGGAAATCGAGGTAGAACTATCTGTAAAACATTGCGAAATTTCGGGGAATCGGTTAACAACTTCGAAGAGAAAATATGCGAAAAAATGATTCGTAATTTTCGCGGATTTTTCGTGGATATTTCGGAAACTGTGAATCGGGATCGGGAGCGCCCATGGTGGGCCGAGGGTTACGCAGAGTCTCGTCGGATCTTGAAGCGGAATCGAGCGTCCGCTGCCAAACCTGTCAGCTCGTTCGCTTCTCAGACAAAGGCGACGGTGCGTCTCGGGAGAAGATTAATCGCGATCGCGTCTCAACGCGGTCTTTGCTTTTGTTCCACGTTGCCGCGTGGCCGCGTGCTAGTTTCGTTAATCCTGTCGTCCGCCGTCCGTCCAGCGATTAATTAGCCTCGTGCCCGAAATACGGACGTGTCTCTCTTCTCTATTCTTCTACTCTTAGGAAGAAAAGAAAGACAGAGAGAGAGAGAGAGAGAGAGAGAGAGAGAGAAAGAAAGAAAGAACAAGATCTCGGAAAGCAGGGCAGCAGCGTGCGAGCGTTTATCGTCGCCGCGTAAATCGTGCGCGCGATGAAAGCGGATAAATAACGCTGATATTAGCACTTCGACGAAACCATAACTTGTCGGTTCGGTTTTACGGCGGCGTGTCTCGCCCGCGAAATCTATAAAAAGCGAATTTACCGGAACAGAACCAGCCGGCCGGGCATCGTTACGCGTTTCGAGACGGGACTCGTTAAATCCGCCGAATCGGAAGCTCGTCCATTCTTTTCGAGAACGTTCCCAGCGAACATTCTTTGCTGTTGCAATTCTTTTCCTACCCCGTTCGACCCTCGGGAATCCCGGGCTTAAATTATATCGCTCGAGGGCTTACGCTCCGTCGGAAACTGCGCGAGCGATGTTTGCGTTATTTTTTCTCGGCGAAAATACTGGAGTTTCCGCGACGATGTTTCGCGCGCTCGAAAGACGATATTATCGGTTAATCGCGGTCATTTTTTCACGGGGATGCGACCATTTATCCGGGCAATGCAAGCAATCGATCGATATCGAGAATTGTATGAACTACGTGGCACGATGAGAACGCTCGAAGCCGAGTTCGATCGAGAAAGAACAGATCGCCGAGATTGTTAGGCCCGATGCTAACAAACGAACCGTTTTCTCTGTTGCAGTGCGTATTGTACCTGTGGGCGCTGAAACTGTGCCATCCAAACACACTCTTCCTCCTTAGAGGTAACCACGAGTGCCGTCATCTCACGGAATACTTCACATTTAAGCAAGAATGTAAGTAGCAAGCCGACGCGTTTCTCGGAGGATTCCGCGTTCGGGAAATTCGAGGAGCGCGGGTTATCCACGGTCGGTCGTTCCCTGTGTCAAAAACCCCTCTCGATACCGTTTCCACGGAAATTACGTCGCGTTGACGTTTTACAGGTTTTTCGGCTGGGCGAGAGAGGTTCCCGACGAACGAACTCCGATCGATTTTCGATAGCCCGCTGTTTTCGGAGGTCAGGGTTCACGCCGGCGAACGAAATTCTCGACGGTTCGAAAGTCGCGCGCCGCTGTCGACAGCGGAAATAGTCGCAGACAGCGCACAGAATTCCTGCGGAAAGCTCCTAGTTTCCGTTCCCGACGTTCCCTATCCTCGATTTGTTTCATTTTTTTGTGACGATCGGGCGAAACCGAAACTTGCAATGGACGCGCAAGCCCGTCGTAACGAAGCGTTCTACGATATCCCCCCGTTTTTCGACATAGCTGAACAATTGTAATAAAAATGCACAAGCGGGTCGATCGCGCGTCGCGGGATCGGACTCCGTTCGAATAATTGGTGGAACCGGCGTGGTCAGGGCATTCTCAATCATTTAATCCCGACGCTTCGAGGAACGCGAACCCGGCTCGGCTCGGCTCCGCTCGGTGCGGCCTCGGTCGTTCGTATCAAAGGGGACGAGGATTTTAATTGCGTCCCTACGGCGATCCCAATTTACAATCGAGTTTACACTTAGCCCGATTTCACGCTCGAGAGAGAACGAATTATGGCGCGGACACTCGTCCGACCGGCTAACCGGGCTGCCTCTTTATCGCCGATTAATGCCCGACGATACGCGTTTTAACCTGCGAACGGATCCGTTTCGATACCGCGACTCTCGGGTCGAGTTCGAAAAACAATTTCCGAACGTTCAAACGAATCAATTGGAAACACCCTCGAATTGCATTCGATCGTCCACGCCCGTGCCATTCGATAACTCGTTGAACGAAAAATATGGGGAACTTCATCTCCCCGATTATACCAATCGCTGGTTTGCTACGTGATTTCGATATTTTTACAGTAACGAATAGCAATGTATTGTCGTTGTCTAGAAATGTTCTCCGATTTTTTCTCAAACTACAGTAATGTCTCTCTTATTCACGCTTAGATTGCGCACAAAAATGGACAATTTGGGAAGAGGAGATACGATTAATTTGAGTCTTGCGCCTCGTCTTATAGTTACGAATTATCAACAACTATAAAAACGGGTCGCAAGGCTCGAGTAATCGTATCTCCTCTTCCCACATTGTCCATTTTCGTGCACAATCCGAGCGTCAATTAGAGAGACATTACTGTAGATCGCACCGATAAAATTTGAGAGCCGACTCCGCGACGTTCGCCGCAAAAAGAATCAATTTAGTCCCGGTTATGTTTTCTTTATCGAGCAATCGTAGCAAACGATCGGCGATGTTTCGTGTGCACGGTTGAACGGCGTGCCGATGAAACAAGCTGGAATTCATCTTGAGAGCATTTTCCGAAATCGTTTCCCGGCTCGACGAGCGCCGATGGCCGCGCGGAACGCGGCTCGGGTTTGATAACGCGGAATTCGGTCCGCGGGGCAAATTGTTACGGGGATGGAGGTGGTTTTTCTTGGATGAGGAGGAGACGGGTACGTCGCCTCTATCTCGAGGAGGTCTGCGTGGCGCAGCCGAGTCGTCGGGTTGGATCGGGTCGGGTCGACCCGCGGAAAACCGTATCGATCCCGGAAAATTCTCCGATACTGGGTCAAGCCGCGCGTATTTACGAGGCTCGCGTTAACCCGGCGTCGTCGACGTTACGTTTATGATTCCTACGTCGCTCCTTTCGACCGCTATCAATCCCTGGGGACCATGGAAGGCCCTATTCTCTTACGTCCTCTCTCGGTTATTACTAGAATTTCCACTGTTTCAGCTGGCCTGTGATCGTTTGCATTTTAAACGAGAAACGTTCTTCCGCTTCTTCAACTTTCGGGAACTCTAGGCAGCTGAACGATTTGTTCGTCGCTCCATTGTTTCAAGCAGAATTCGAAATGCCTGTAGACTTGTTTAGACTCGCGTCGAAGATTTTCCAAGGGAAATGTTCTCAGGAACGTTCGCTAATCCCCGCAAAAAGCTATCCGATCCGACTCGAGCGAAGAATATGCACTCGGCTGCACTCACTTTTCGGGGAAACCAGGCTCGGAGCATTAATTAATGCTCTCGTTTGTCAGGATAATTTTCCGTGGCTGCCGCAAACGTTCCCTTCCACGGATGTTTAACATCCCGGTAGGTCGATCTCCGGGTTGTTTGAGCCAATTTCTCTGGGAAAGCTCGCTTTCCCGGTGAAAAGCGTCGGCAGTTGGGTCGGTCGGCAGGCTCGGCAATGTTTGGCAGCTCGGGCTTGTTTATCGCGGCCGAGACGCGCTTTTTAATCGCGGTTTTTCTCGCGTTTCCACGAGAATCTCGGACCGCTTTCTGTTTCGCCCAGATGCATCGGGACTCGGGACACGCATTATTCGTAGGACTCCTGGCAACGAGAGGGAACCCGCTGGCACGAGGCCAGAGGGTCGGAACGAGTATTTCTCTGCCGGCCAAAAACGATTGTTCCGTCGCAAACACCGACCGCGAAACCAGAAGAGAATTAATCGATCCTGAAGCGAAACCGAAAGCTCCGACGCCTTCGAGTTCCTATTCCGCGAGCTGTCTCCCGCGATTTCTCTCTTGAAATCTGGTCGGACGACCTTGAGGTTGCTCGTGCCACGGCTGCACCAAGTTCTCTGGACCTTCGTGTTCGATGGCAAAATAGTCGGAGCGAGCAAAGCGTGTTCGGAGCTGTTCAAATTGGTTCGAGGCATCGGGCGGTCCTGCATCTTTGCTGTAAAAATAGTCGAAGGAAGGGAAGAGACAACAGCTCTGCGAACAAGGTCGATCGGTTCGAGATCTCGACGGACGTCTGGAGCCGACAGCAATCTGTCCGCCGACAAATCTTGAAGCTGTCGAATCCGGAGATCGTGCTTCTTCCATCGACAAGGGATTTTTCCTGCTCGGAAGTCCAGGGTCGCGGTGAACGCGTTGTTTCACCGAATCTTTGAACCGCTTCGAGTATTTAATCTGGAAACATATTGCAACAATTTTCTTCGAATATTTCCTAATAATCCTAAACGATGCGGTAAATGATTCGAGATTATCCGATCGGCGTGCGAAGCTAGCATCGAATCGGAAAGAGGCGCCAACGCGTTTAAGTAGAATTATCCCGAGATCCGGCGCACGGCGGGTTGTCTCGGTTAGGTGAAAACAGAATCGGCCGGCGAACGAAGCTGCCGGGCACACGTAAAGCGAATAAAAGCCCCGAAAGACGCCTTTGTTCACGGGCAATAACGCTGGGAACGACAGCTCGCCGCAGCGGGCCGCGCCGAGATAAAAGAAACAAAGCGCCGAAAGTAGTCGAATCGAGCCTGTCGCTGGCCAACTTTCTCCGGGCTTTTTTCTTGTTTCGTTTCCATTTGATCCTTCCTGGTCCCCTCTCCTTTTCTCGCCGTCTCTGTTCTCGGTGCGATCGGATTTTATTCTCCGTTCGTTGCTGCTTTTTACGGGCCGGGTTTCCTCTCCCGCTCCGCGACAGAAAAGCGGAGGAAAGATTACGAGGAGAGACGTGGACGATCGAGACCGGTTTTTATGAACGCCGACGGTGTCGCATAGCCGGCTGCACGGTGTCTGTCTGTTTTCAGGTAAAATAAAATACTCGGAGAGGGTGTACGACGCGTGCATGGCCGCCTTCGACTGTCTACCGCTCGCCGCCCTCATGAACCAACAGTTCCTTTGCGTGCACGGTGGCCTGTCGCCGGAAATTCACAATTTAGAAGACATACGCAAAGTGAGTATACACGCACAGAGATCCTTTTTATATGTTTCATTGTTCTTCTCGCGGGGAATCGCGTGAAAATGGCGCGTCTTCGCGCGAGATCGAACTGCAACGGATTTCAATGTTTCGCCAAACGAATCAAAGGGTACGCGAGTCTGCGGTTTTCGCGAACGTATGCCGGATGATTCGTGGGAACACGGGTATTTTCGGAGTGGAGAAATGATTCTCGCGACGTTATTATTCATGGAGGAAGTTTCTGCGAGGCAATCTAGCCGGGTTAAAGAATTCCGTTTGCTTCATCCCTCAAAGGATCAATTCCTGCCGGAGTTCGAACAGCGAAGAAATCTCTTTGGGCAAGCATCCCGCGGAATTCCGTCACATAGAAAGAAGAGAGAGAGAGAGAGAGAGCTGAATTTTGTTACAACGGGAACACGGGGCTCGGTCGACTTCTACGTGCATTCCGTCGCGGATTCCGCGCGTTTTTCCCTCCGCGGCATCGCGGAAGACACGTTCGGAACCGTCTCGGGACGAATAGGATTCCTCGGACGGAGAAGCGGGTTTCTCTCGTTCGCGAAACCCGCGAATATTCTGTTTGCGGGCTTCCGGATCGCAACGGTGAATAAAAAGAAGGATCCCGATGAATATTTCAGCAGCTATTTCGAGATATCTCGATTCGATTCGATTCGATTCACAATTTGTGAATCGGCAGCGATTCGAGAGACATTTTTGACCGGTGGATTTCCAACGGGAGGAAAATAGTTGACGTTCGATGCGCAAGTAACGACGATGCGTATCTACGCTCGTTTTGAAGGGTGAAGGTTCTGCTTCGAAACCCCTTAGCCGTTTTCCTTCAGGGATGCTTTTAGACTAGACAGCGGACGAGAGAGTGCAACCCTGTCGGGATGCGTTTCGAGCTGTTTCGCTATCCGCGGACGCTCTGCGTTTAAAATTGTTTAAATCGGTAAAAAAAAAATCATACGACGAATTTCGAGGCGTCGTTTCAAAGGGGCGACTTTGATCTTCGATTCCGCTGCGGTTAGAGCCGGATAACAAATTTATCAAGCTCCCCAGAGGTGTTCGAATGTACGGAAACTTTCGGCATGAAACTTCGGGAGAACGTTCTCACGTTTTGTTTTATCCGTTAACGTAAAAGCATTTTTGTAATAAAACGGCTAAAGGGGGTGATGGTAGAATCTCTCCCCTTTAAAATGAGCCTAGCTTGGTCATCTTGCGATTTTTCTTCATCGAGTAACAGCGTATCGATCTCGAAGAATTTTTCTCGCCGCTTTGACGTTGATCGCCGGCTTATCGAACGATTATTTATCGAACGACGGTATTATCGTATCGAATCTGTTCCTCCGAGAGGAAACCGGTCGGAGAGCTGTGAAATATTCATACATTAATAGAAAATGGATGGAGAAGCCGGTTGAAAGAGGGGCATCCGACGGATGTTCGAGGCTGGAGCCGTGCGGGATCCACTTTTATGGTCTTTTACGTCTCAAAGGGACGACTTATCGATCGGTCGATCTCCATATCAAACGTCTCGGAAAAGGTTCGCGATAAAATCGTCGTCCGGAAATAAAACGTCGAACCTCGGAGTCGCTTCAAGTCCCAAGAATTCCTAATTTCGCGGTCCTCCGAGCCGCAGCCGTCCGATAAATATTAAAAGTCGGTCCGCGGCGAGGGCGACGGCGAGGGAGAGGACATTGCTCTCCGGAGCGTTCACGATCCTTTGTCGGCGGCTGACAAAGAATCATGTTAATTAATTAGACTATCGATTAGCCTCGCTCGTTTCCACCTGGCGGCCCGAGTTGACGCGAACCGCGGATCTGGCCCCCGCGTTTGTCGGTTCGTTAAGACGATCGCTCGTTTTTCCGCGCCCTCCTCGTTCTCCATCGTTTGTCACGACGATCGAGGGTTAATCGAATTAATAAAAAAAAATTGCTCACGATAGATGAAACATTCTCGTGTTCGTCTTCCGAGCAAATTCGAAGTTTCGCAAATTCTCCGGCGTGCTCGAATCCGAGAACAGAATTGCCGGTCCGCCGGCTAAAGGGAGGAGATGCGATCGGTTCCTCTCATTTCATAATAAACGGAGCTAATTCACCGTCGCCGCTTTTCAGTTGGCAGTTTTCTCGTCAAGGAAAGCGGATGAAAAGCGCGGAACAGGAAAAGGCGAGTAAGCAACGAAGCCTTAAGGGGTAGCCAGGGGGTTGAAGCGGCCGAGAAATAGCGGGAGCCAAAGGAGGGAAACGCTTCTAAAGATGGCGGTGGGAAAGATATAGGGAACAGGGGGAAGAGAGGAGAAAGTAAGAAAGAAGAGGCGATCCGAGGGGAACCGAGACGAGGAGGACAGACTGAAAGGAAAAGGGGGTAGAGTGGGAGGAAGATAAGAGGGCGAGGGGTGCATCTGTTCCGGCAGATCACGAGGGTATTTCTCGTGGGAGAACGTGGGAATGGTTAACCCTCTTCTTCCAGCCTGTTCCCGTTCGTCGCGCTCCCCTTTTCAGCTGCTTTTCAGCCGCAACAATCGCGGAAAATAAGTCGCGGCGGGGGGCGAGAGGAGGCGCTGCGAGTGGATCTCCTGCCGGGGAAACAAAAGCCCTGGGAACTGGGTGAAGTTCGACGAGTCGGAAATATTCGCCGGGTATTCCGCGATAATTTCCATCGACGTTATCGGTCGTTCCTCCTCCGGTCGATCGCGGGCCAAGATATTTCAATAGCCGAACACGGTTCGATCGACCCTTTCGACCCCCTCGTCCCTCTCGACTCCCTCGCGAGACGGCGCGCTCTCCCTCGAAATAAATCCGAACTGCTGCAACTGTCCATAAAAAAATATGTCACACCGTATTTTCCTATTAGCATCGAAGATAGGCGGAAGACGGTCGGGGTAAGCTAATCGCTCGAGAAGAACCGAGCGGAATCGCATAGGCGTCGGACGGGTTTCCGAAGGTCGTCGGTATGCAAATGGACGGAGAAAGAGGGTGTCCGCTGTATTCCCCGGTCGACATTTGATATTCATATCGCTTACCCGCGGTTGCAAAACCCGTCTTTTACGCGCAGGCACATGGAATAATACATAACAGAAGGCGAGGGACCGGGTCGGATCTATGCGAGTCTGATAAATATTGCATGGTCCGCCCTCCGACCGATGCTGTCGCCAGAATTTCCAGCATATTTCGCGCGGACGTTCCCCTTGCCGGACCCCGTGATCGCGATATCAAATAAATCATCGCACTTATGGAACGAGCAACGATCCTCCACCGAATTTCTTCGAGGTTCGTCCCGAAACTCCTTCGAGTTTGGTTGAAAACAGGCCACGAAATCCGTCCGACGGGGGCTGTCTTTTCGAAAAATCCTGGATCAGAGGATCGTCGAACCCCATTGTTCCAAATTGCACTTCCTGTTTCCCCGTTGTTCGACGAGAGTCGACGTTTGGAGTCGCTGGTTTGCGTTCAGCCAGGTTTAGGCCAGTTTCCGGTAATGAAAACGCACCGTCAGCGAGGGTTCGCGGCGAAAGACGAGAACGGCGATAATGCCGATGTTATTGCGTCTGGCATTATTAGGTGCAAACTGCTCGTTACAGTGTAAACTGCACCCACTGTTGCAGCGTGCAGCGCGTGCGCCGGGTCGCGCCGCGACGCGACGCGGTAGTCGCACGTGCCCCGTGCCCCATGCCTCGTGTCCTATAGAGGGAACTAATGCCATTCAGCATAATTAGCGTTACCCATTATGATCGAAACCTGCGGACCACGGCCGTGCCTCCGTCGCTGCGCTCCCGCACAAAGACAACGTCGATACGTCAACGTTAAGTCGGCCCGTTATAGTCGGGTAATTACAGCGCGGTAATTATCGGGGAGGCTGCTCGACAACCCGGCCGATGCTCGTCTTTTTCTATCGCAACGATCTGCCTACAATATTCTCCCGATATTACAATAAGCCGCCTCGATTCTCTTTTTCCCCCGGTTTTACCTTTCGAAGCTCGCCGGTCTTAATTGTTCGAGAGTCCGTCGGACTTTGAGCGGTTCGAGCCGAGTCGTTAACGATCCGTTACACCTGCGAAGCGAGAAAGACCAGCTTCGTATTCTTCTTCGTTCTTTAGATTTTTATCGGGGCCGGAAGTCCCTTGGAATCCGAATCGAACGAGCTCCGTAGAAACTCCATGATGTTCCATAAAGCTCGCGTTAGAAACACGCTGTTATCGCGGAAATATTCTGTAGACCTTATGTACGCAGCTTTACGCGTACGAATATTTTGAACTCACCATACTGTTTCTTTTGTTACGTAGTAATTATATTTTTCTACGTTCTATTCCGGATTTGGCGTCGTTGTTCTAACGTAAACAAACGACTGACACCATCGAACGTTGGGAGATTGAGGCAAAAAAAAGCCTCGAGCTCTGGGTACGAAAAAAATCCGGCCTTATACGACAAAGTTGAGACTAAGAGAGAGAAAGAGAGAGGGAGATAGTGGTAGTTTGGTTTATGTGACGCGTAATTCGGGTCGCGATTGCGATCGTCATTCGGGTGTTGCTATCGAGACAGTACGGACGTCTTAAATCATTTGGAAATTCCATGCGTTGAAAGCTGCTACTTATTTGCGGATATCTGAATATTCAATACATATTTAATATCCGAAACGCATCAGAGCATCCAAATAAGAAGGTATATCGCAAGATACGTCGAACATTCGAAATGTTGTACACACCGAGCAATATTCGGCAGCGTTTGAACTCGGCCGGATCCGTTTCTGTAAGAGCGAATCGATCGACGTGTGCACCCTTTCGAGGATCATCGACGACGTATTTACCGATGTATCGGACAGTTCCTTGGACTAATCGGATCGATGTTGACTTTGCTGTTTCAGTTGGACAGGTTCAAAGAGCCACCGGCGTACGGGCCCATGTGCGACCTGCTCTGGTCCGACCCGCTCGAGGACTTCGGCAACGAGAAGAACGTGGAGCACTTCTCCCATAATAGCGTCAGGGGTTGTTCGTACTTTTATAGGTGAGTAGACAGCCATTTTTTTATCGTTCGAACGTTTGTCTAAACCGAGAATCGTAGACGAAAAATTAGCGCGCAGTTTATGAAATTAATGACAGTTGGCGAACTCGAAAGGGATCCGTCGGTGGCCGAACAGAGAGGGTGGTCGAGGGGTGCGGGACACGTTTGATCGGCTTGTTATTAATTTCGTCGGATAGAGGAAGGGAACGGGGTGCGACGTGGCAGATAGAGGGTTAAATTCCGGCGAAAGTTGGCTCGTTTTTTGTCGCGCGATCGCGGCCACCGACCAGCTTCCGCGGGACAAACGACCGGCTAATTACTCGCCGAACGGGGTAACGATCGTCGGAAAAAAAACGAGACGGACGCGTGTCGGGGATGGTGGGGATAATGCGGGGGAGACGAGTACCATTCGGTCAGCATTTTTCGCTGGCAAATGGAAACGAGAACGCGCGCGGATGAAAGGAACGAAAATATTTTTCCTGGTGACCACTCGTCGGTTATTCGAGATTCGACGCGCGTTGATCGCCGGTAACAGCCAGCAGAGCCGGTCCAGAGGCGAAATTTTCGGCTCTTCCGTCTCCTGGGGCTTCCGTTTCCATCGGAGTTCCCTGTGGCAATGAATAATATCGGAATTTCGGTCGTTACCGCTGATCGTAGCGATTTTTCAGCATTGCTGCGCAATTTCGCTCGGTAACCGCTCGCTCGAAAACTATTACTCTCTCGCTCCGATCGAATTAAGTGCTGTTGCTTCGAAGTACAACTACCGAGCCCTAAACGCGACTAATATTACATCGTCGCAGTTACGATCATTTTTCTCGCTAATAAAATGTGTCCGGCGGAGGTAAAAAAAGTAGTCGAAAGTCGATCGGAAGCGATCGAACCACACGCGTCGCTCTTCCACCGAAACCGAACAATTACGCGACTCGACTGATCAACGATGTTTACGAGGCCCAAATTTCGTAACCCGTTCCCGTCGATAATTTCTTCGGCTAACGAAGAGGAATCGTGGCTTGTTTAAATTCAATCGACGTTCCGAACGAACCTCGATTACGGAATCGATTTAATCCGACCATGCGCGAACTCGTTCCTGGAATCGGGTCCTTTCGTTGCTGCTACAATAAAACACAATTGGTTGTTAAGGATTCTTCGTTAAGCTCCCTTGTTACAATGAGGCACTTTTCCTCCCTCCCCCAGGGGGTGAGGATCTCCTATTCTCCGTCTCGCTCGCCGTTCTTCCCTCTCTCTCTCTCCCTCTCTCTTTCTCTTTCTCTCGCTCGCTCGGAAACCGCCTCGTTAATCATCGCCACGGTGTGAACGGTGCCTAACGGTCGTTAGCGACCTTGCCTCTACCTTGGCTCGGCCGTTTCTCAGGGTCCTTGGCCAGGTCAGTTATAGGCGCGCGAAAAAGGTCGGTCGTCTGACGTCTACCGCTTAATTTGTTTACACGAACGTCGACGCCGACGCCGAAGTCGACGCCAGGCGTCGCTGCACCTCCGACGCAGAATGCATCCGCGGGATGCATCATCGTCTGCCACTTTGCTAAAATTCGTGCGAATTAAAATCGTGCGCGTATTTTCTCGATTCGTGTCCCCTTTCACACCGTGAAAAGGATCAGTGAGCGACACGGCTAACCAGAAATGATTTATTTCTCGCGCTGCTTCGTCCAGGATTCTGTAATTCGCGATGAATTATGCTTGTCGAGGACTGATTTATCGCGGCCGCCTTATTGCCCCGTGACTCCCAAGGCAGCGGATTAACAGTTCAAATATTCAAATAGAAGCGCCAACGACTTGTTTCGCATAAATTCGACGGCTCTCTTTCTCTCTCTCTTTTTCTCTCTCGCACACGCTATCCATCTCTGTTTCTCTTTCTCTCTTACTCTCTGTGCGCGAAAACCGTCGCAGTCGAGGACCTCGGGGGATTTATTCGAACGTCGATCTCGCGAGCCACGCGAAAATGAAATTCTGAAATTTCAATTGAAGATCGATCTCGAAACGCGGCAGCAGATTGAAATGGCCGTGCCGGTCAGGCTTTCGAGCCTGTCAATTTACGGGATACGTTGACGTTAGTCAATTAACCCTTTGAAAAATCGCGGAACCCGATCGGAAATTCATCGAAACGCTCCGACAGATTCTTAGAAATGTTTCCAAATATTTCATTCGGCCTAGCAAGAACGATCTCCGAGAAAATGTATTTTGTAGTTTCCTATGAAAGTGTCTCCCTCTGATTTCAACGACGTAAAAAAATGCGTTAAGCATCGATCACATCGAGGACATAATTTTATTCCGGCATAAAATAACAGAATAAAGTTCTCACCGAAAAGAAATCTCCACCGCGAGTTATGACGGCAAAGAATTGATATCGATAATTTTTCTTTTGCATCACAATCGGCGGTCTAATTTGAATAAATTAAATAGACTCGCTTCGGTGATATCGAGTGGAACTCGACCGGGAGGTGTGAGATTCGAATAAATTGCCAAGCGGGCGAGAGAAGGTGGCCGATGAATTGAATTCTCGCGGATCGATCCAATTGCGAGATGACCCCCGTCAGATGATGATGATTTATCGGGGGAGCATTATAATTTCGAAATGCTCGGGCCGCGGTTCCGTTATCGTGCGTTCGATCTGGATAAAATTACTCGACGAGAAAGCTAGAGAAGCGGGGAGAGGAGAGGGGGCGGAGTTATCGCGAATTTTCGCGTGCAACCTCGCGTGCCGAGGCTCCACACCGGCTCGCAACATTCTCGAGACCGTTTTAAGCCGCCTTCGCACCGAACTTCCGCCGAGCCGAGTCGAGGCGAAAGTTTCCAGTAAAATTCGCCGGCGCTTAGTATTTATTTCAGTTTCATTCTTTGCATACAATTGATCCAGAAAATGTTCGTTTTGCACAAAGATCCGCGGTCAAAAATTGTCCGTCGGTGCAGCAGAACATTTAACACCAGAAGAGAGCCTCCGTCATCGCAGGGTTGTCGGACAAATAGTCCGATCGCAGGATAAAGGGGTCACGCAGGTTCAGGGAATCCTGGAGAGCCGATGTCCCGGGTGTTCGAAAATTGCCGGGCGTTTACGAGGATGAAATAAAAGCTGGAAGACCCGCGGGCCGCGCTGTCGAGGATTTACGAGACCGTCTTTGCTCCTTACGGGGGCTAGATCCTGGGAAACGGCCGAAGTATCGCGTAACGGCTTCTTTATGGCGCCGCGGCCATTACGGAATTGCTCTGAACTCGCGGGTGATCTCGCGAATATTATGATCCTGCCGAGCCATTTTGCGATCGCGCTTCCAGGACGATCCCTCTTTCAACGTTCCGCGTTAAGCTCCGCTTTTCACTGCCGATCGCCGCGCGGGCTTGCCTCAGTCGCCTTATCTAGCCGACCCCGGCAGCTTTTGGGTCAATTTTTGACCCAAAAATTGCTTGTCGATCAAAACTGGAAACTGAAAGAGTCGACGAGCTTTCGATAGGGCCTATGTTGCAACGTGGTTCGTTCAGTTGATCAGCGAACGCGTCTCAGTTGAGTTGCATCCGTATTGGTTTGCAGTTACGCGGCGTGCTGCGACTTCCTGCAGAATAACAACCTTCTCAGCATCATCAGGGCACACGAGGCGCAGGACGCAGGGTATCGTATGTACCGGAAATCCCAGACGACGGGCTTCCCATCGCTAATTACCATCTTCAGCGCGCCCAACTACCTCGACGTTTACAACAACAAGGTAAGCATCGGTTGTTTCTCTTGGAAGACAACCGTCTGGTTGCCATTGTCGCTTCCCTGCGCGCATCTCGGTGCATATTCCACTCCCCTGAGCCAACCCTTGCAGTCCGTAAAACGATAAATCCATACGACGTGGCATTCTTCCAAATGAAATTTTGTTCTTTCTTTTAGCGTATATTTGTAGATACTTGCGTGTAAAATGTCGCATTCGTGTCGTAGTAACGTTCAAAGGATCTCCCCGCAGTCCCGCATCCCGGAAATATAATTAACTGAGCATCCAGGACGGTGGCGTTTCTCGACGAATCAAAATTTTGCACCGTGATCCCTATAAATTTGCAGAATCTCGCGAACGAATTTTTCGCAGGATTTTTCTCCGCAGCCCTCGAAATAGCAATTAATGAGAGATTCGGCAAGGTGTAATTTTTCAAGAACAAGACTTCGCCGATTCGTTCGGAATAGTTTGTAAAATTTCGCAGCCGAGGAAACGGCGCCGGAGGGTTCGGTAAGACACGGTGCAGCCCGTGCTGCAATTAACCGTCGGAATTGGAAACTAGGATCGTTGCGCCGTTGCAGACAACTCGCGGAGTAGATTAATTTCGTTGCGTTTTGCAGGCAGCCGTGCTGAAGTACGAGAACAACGTGATGAACATCAGGCAGTTCAACTGCTCGCCCCATCCATACTGGTTGCCCAATTTCATGGACGTTTTCACGTGGTCTCTGCCGTTTGTAGGTGAAAAAGGTAAGCGAGGCCTCGCCCGAGGGCCTCTCGAACGCCGCTTTCCGGAAACAATAATTATGTCTGCTTCCACAGAACATCGGTTTCCCACGGATATGTTCTTTTATAATTTCGTTTTCTGTTGTTCATTCCACCTGCGATCAAAGTTACGGCATCGTTTTCAAGCAGCTTCGCGAACAAAGATCCTGCGACCATCTTTCCACCCTTTGAACTGAAAAATAGCTCGAATTCGACGAGCGGTAACTCGGCGAAAAAAAAACGTAAGATAACTCAACTAAGCTCGTTTTAAAGGGCAAAGCTTCTGCTTTCGCACCCTTGAACTGTTCCATCTCGACGATGCTCCTACGCTAAAAAGCAAATTAAAAAATCAGAACGGTTTGTCCAAGTTCCAAGAAAGAAGTTTCGGGACAGTTTGAACGTCTCTTGCGAGTTTAACAAATTTTGTTCCGGCTTCTAGTCACCATGGTCTCGAAGCCAGAAGTTTCCCCTTTGCAACGACGTCTTTAAATCAATCGTACGATTTTTTTTCATCGATCTCCACGACCTTGAACCAAAAGCATATCGTACGCGATGACGCAGCTCGAAGAGCTCGCGCTTAGTCGCCGCGTCTTCGAGTGCGAAAATTTTGTAAAAAATAATCGAGTCGACTAGCCGAAACTAGAATGTTCTCCCTTTAAAACGAGCCTACTCGGATGTCCGTGCGATCTCCGTTGGCGAAGTTACAGCGGGTCGAACGTCGCCGTTAATTTTGATCGTCGGCGAGAGCGAGGTGAATCCGTCTGGTGATTGTAACCTCTAGAAACAATTAAAGGAGATTAATCGCTGGTTGTTTCCTCGTGTCCGCAGTCACGGAGATGTTGGTGAACGTGCTGAACATCTGCTCGGACGACGAGCTGATGAGCGACGGCGATGACGGGCTGGAAGAAGGTAATGTCGAGCATCTCGCCCCGCATCTCTACATCTCTCCTCTTAATACGATCGTATATTTCTTGCAGAGTCACTCTTCTTTCTTTCTGTTCGTTCATTCGAACTCTCTCCTCCGCTCGCAAAGAGACAAAATGCAAAAGCAAAAATACGAGGAAACGAATCTCGTACTCTCTATCTCTCTATCTCTCTCATATACTGGTCCCTCTTACATCGTGATCAGAGTGTTCGTTTTTCTTTCGTCTTGTGTTGATGCTTGAACGATTAACACGTGTTATCGAAACCGAGAGAACATGGTCTCCCGTTCGCGCGCGTTCGTTTCATTTCTCCGCGATATCTAGACCCACGATAATATCCGGACCAAAGATTTCATCGGAAAACGATTTCAACGAGAAACCATCTCGACGGACAACGATGTCCCGCGACTCTCGCCGGATACTCGGCGACAAATTTTTCAAAAGTTTCTCCGGTGTTAATGCCTCGCGAGCTCTTTTTCTTCTGTCGGAGTGCCTTTCCGTGTTGATTCGATAAGCGATCGCCGTGTCGCGTCGCGCCGGTCAAAAACTGCGACGGAAATGCGCGTTCCGCGGATAAGAAAGATATAACACCCCGAGAGTCTCAGCCTCTCGCTCTAGACACGATTTAAGAGAGGCCATGTCTCACCTTCGGGACCGCGAGGATTACCCACGTTCGTCTGCTTCCGTTCCGAATCCAGGAAACCCCTGGATAAATAACGATTCCCGGACGTAGTTCGAATCCACGCGGTCCGAAGAGGATCCAGATCGATCGCCTGACCGCCGAGCTGCCTCCGGAATTCGCCTAAATCGTCTGCAAATATCCTGACAGAATAGAATCATTTCATTTAATTATTCGTGATCCGTTTAAATTTTGATTATCGAGCAGCCAGTTTAAAGAACTGTTTATTCGTGCTAGATTTAAATCGATCAAATTGCTTCGATAATATGCGACGATAATAATATGCGAAAGACGTGGACATTGTGCAGAATAAATATTGTCTAAATTTATTGCGAGAAACGTAAGTTCGATCAGAGGGTGTCTTTCATTTTAACGATATCTTTAAACTCTTCTAATATACCAAAAAATTGAAAGTATCTTCCTAAGAGTAGAATCGCGTCGAGACAGTTGAATTCGGCGATCTCGTTGATTGGAGGATAATTGGGGGCAGCTCTCGATAGGCAGGCGATCGAATCGATCGGAAAGCGGAAGAAAGAAAAGGAAACCTGCAGCCGCGTTTTCCCGATATCTCTCTCTCGAGACATCGCACACCCCCGCCCCTTGCGAAGATTTTCATCACTTTGCTACGGCCGCACCTGTTTCAAAATTTCACCCTCGACCCCCGTCTGGACGATGTTCTCTTCCCCCTCTTTCTTTATCTATCTCTGTCTCTTTTCGTCCCGGATCACCCCGTATCACCCCCAACCCCCCCGAATCAAAATGGCCCCGAAAAATGCGCGCGCCCGATCACGCCTAATTCACGAGGAAGATTTTCAATTCTCTTTCTGTTTCCATTTTCACCCGCTGCACGGACAGATGGTAAGAAGCGCCACTCGACTCTTCTAATCGTCACATTGTTAAGAGCTTCATTGGTTATCATTGATTTCTTTAGCTGTTTTATCATAGATAGTGTCGGTGTGTCAAAGAGTTTCCTCTCTCTTTCTCTCTATATCTACACCTATCTATCTATCTATCTCTCTATGTATATTTATTCAACATGTTTTACCTTCTTTCTATCGATCTATATCTGTCTGTCTTTCTATTTCTATATCTTTCTCTCTATCACACCTGTTCCGTTCTCTTGTCCTTCCTCGAATCGAGGAGCTAAGAAAAGGAAAAATGACGAGGATGGACAATTTGAAAATTGCCACTCGTCTGTTTCTGTCTCAGTCTCATCTTCCTCTTTTATGATTCTCCATTTCTCTCTCTCTCTCTCTCTTTCTCTGTTTCTTTATCATACACTGTCTTTAACTCACCGTCTTCATGTTTTCATGGTTCATCTCGCATCAAGGTACGAGAGGATTCTTTCTATTTTGTCTCTCTTTCTTTCTGTATCTAGCTCTTTCTATCTCTCTCTCTCTCTCTCTTTTTCTCTCTTTTTTTCTCTCTATATATTTATAAATATAAATATCTTTCTATCTCTGTTCTTCCTCTCCTCATATTAAATATATCTTTGTACATACGTACAGCGAGTCCCGACGTCGCTGCCACAGACATGCATCTAATGAAAAGTGCGACGATCGAAGGATTTGCAAAAGTAGCATTTCTCAATTGTAAAAAATCACATATTTTTGTCATCGATCGTTCCTTTATCTTGCTCATATTATCGCTATTTTCCGGCACCGTTTTTCTCTTGTATTCGACAGGAACATTTTTGCGAATCCTTCAGTCGCCACTTTTTCCTCGGACTATACTTCTGTGCCAATCGCATTGGGATTCTCTGTACATTTTAATTATATATTATATACATATTTAAATATATGTATACTTCGATGGCACACTGCCTGGATTCTTGACGTTGTCACCGATAGACTCTCATTTTCTGCATCGTTGCGACCATGGTACATGCATAGACATCTGTTTTTTCACCTTCGCTCGGCCCTGTCAAGATGGCGGCATTGCAAACTTACGAGAAACACAACGAGACACTCTGCAAACTGTATAAAACTACTTGCAATTCTCCGGGAAAGATAGCTCTATAATTTTTCGAAACTTTCTCTCTTCGCTTTTGCTTCGACGCCATCTTGAATCACTCGAATCACGCATGCATCGGTCGGCCGAAGATCGATCACGGTCGAGGATCGATCTACGGCCGATCTTCAACATATTCTCGGTGTTAATTAAGGAAGAAAAATATTTCTACCCCTGCGCCCTGCCCCCTACGCCCTGCCCCCTCATAAAAACCGCCCCCGTCTCTCCGAATTGATTCCGCTCGACTCTCTGTGTAACCATTGTCCGAGTTCCACTCCGAAGTCAGTTTTACTTTCTCTCGTGTGTCATGTCCAAGCCCCCCCCCCGGTCCACTCTGGCCCAGTTATGCTCTTTTCTGCACCCCGAACTCTTTCTATACCGTGTCGCCGATATAAGGGTGGCGATCCTCCCACGCGAAACAGGGTGGCTCCTGGACTCTGGAGACCAGTTTCTCGATGCTCGGTGAAACAAATATTTTTCTCTGTTCAAACGATACTTTTGGAACGTCTCTGTATTTATTTTTTTTTAACGATATTGCTTTGAAAAATATTTTCGAGGTCGTCTCTATTTTTTGTATACCGTTATTATTTCGATTCGGATTTTGTAAATCGTGTTACAAGACCTCGTAACAAGTCTGGCACAATATTATAGGTCAAGGGGATAAGGGTGAGTCCGCACCCCTAAAAGGTTCTCCGATACTTATAGAAAATTGTATTTTATTTAACATTTGGTACAGGTTAAGTTACGTTTCAAGATATAAATGGTTGAAACAAGCCTCGATTTTTGAGTGTTTGCAAGAAGATTTCCTGGAGCCACCCCCAAGAGCAGCCCCCTCACGCCCTAAGAAAAAGCTGAAAAGAAAGATCGGCCTTACGCGAGCCGCGAGAAAGATCTATTCCCGATTGATTCGATCGAGCAAGATTGCCGAGAGACATAGAGCACAGCCCCCCGGCCCGCCCTGTTCATTAAAAAGCCCATCAGCCCCCCGCCCATAAACTTGCACTGACTGTCTTTTATCGTACTCCTTCTCTATTATATTTGTATAAATCACACTGGCCTTGGACTCCTCCTATCTCGGCACGACACTATGCTACTACCTTCTACTACCACCTACTACTACCTACTACTACTACTACCACTACTACTACTACTGCTACTACTACCTACTACTACTACTACTACCTACTACTACTACTACTAACTATTACTACCACTACTACTACTACTACTAACTACTAACTACTACTACCTACTACTACTACCACTCAAAACTCCGTTGTTCGGCATACGCAACCCCCGTAAAGTCGCAGCCAAAGTCGTTGTCCAAAAAAAGAATGGTAAGTCCCCGTGAGAGCCGACGACTTGACGCAAAAAGTTTTCTGTTCTTCTTCTTCTTCTTACTTCTTACTTCTTACCTCGTTCTTTATTTTTAATTGTTTTTGTAAGTTTCTTTGTTTCTTTGAGAAAGCCGCAAAATAACCCGTTAACAATAATTCTGCGAGTTTGTTGACGCATACGAACGTTTTTTAACGTTGATTCGAGAAGCGTTTGTATCGTACGCGAGCGACGTGCGCGCGCGTTCGCACGCATTCGCCGTGCGTGTACGCGCGCACGCGACATACTCTCTGGCCAAGTGTAAAAAACTCTTTTGTTTCGCCAGTGTCTTCTTTGTATATTGTACACGTACGCAACCGCGTCGCCGAGGCGGTCGACCACGTTGATCGGCGATAATACCGCGACGTTCTGCTCCGCGATTAATCGAAACCCCCGCGAAATTGGATCGTCGAGGACGTTTCGAGAACCGATCATTCCTTGAACTACGAACTCGCCTATCCCCCGTTTCCGGTATCCGTTTTGCAGGATCCGTCGATCCAAAATGTCGAATTCGAAACAAGTTCGAAGCAATAATCGAAGCAATAATCGAAGATAGGCGAGGCGTTGTTCACGAGGATTCGCTCGTTTCGCTAAAATTCGCAGACTAACGTGATACCTTCTCCGTCGAAGAAACGTTAATCCGATTTGTTGCATCGTAAATTAGCCGGGATGAAACGTGCAATTGCATGTAGTCGCGTCAAGTAGAAAAGTCGAAATTGGTCAGACCAAGCCGCCTCGCGACCAGCGTTCCGGGCAGGCGATAGTTTTCTCACTTGTTTCGTCTCTTCGTTCCTGTTCGAGACGCTTGTACACGTACATATATACACGAAACCGAGCACACGTGTGTCCCTTATACGTGTACGTGTACACCTGTCTACTTGTCCCATCTACTTCTTGTTCCTTTTACACGCGAGCTCTGCAATTTTATTTACTCGAGTCGCGTCTCGTTCGGACTCTGTTTCGTTCGGTTTCTTTACGATTCGTTCGGTTTCTTTCCGTTTCGTTTGATTTCTTTCCATTCCGTTTCGTTTCGTTTCGTTTCGTTTCGTTTCGTTTCGTTTCGTTCTATCCTCCGGCGTGTTTCGTTCTTTTTCTCGCCCTTGGTTCTGTCTTTCTTTTCTCACTTCTACCCACTTCTCTGTTCAACCCCCGTATCTGTCGCCACGCTCTGCGCTCGACACTGGAACCACCGACGCACACGTCTGCGAAACCTTCGAGTTTCGTTTTAAAACATATTTATATTTTCGATCACAAAGATCTCGAAGATTTATAATTCGTTTCGATCCCTCGGTCGTTCCACGTGCCAACGCTAATCGCTCTCGTCACCAGCCACCTGTCTCGTCAGGCTACATCCCTCCAGAGCCCCTCCATCCACGCCTCGTTCTCTCTTCGCCGATCAACCAACACTTTGGCAGCAACCCGACAGTCCGAACGAGCTTCCAATTATCGCTGAGAGTCAGTCGCAAAGAGGAATCCCACTTTAACGCGTCAAGTGTGCCGAAAACCAACCCCCAAAATTCCTGCAACGTGAAATTCTAGATCCTGGTAACTTACGGTTTGTTCGATATATTCAAAATTAGAGCCACCCGGGCGCGCGGCACTCGACGCGTTAACAACTACGAAATTAATGATCTTGTTCGTTAATTTCGAACGCTCCTTCGCACGGAGCATTTCGAAACCCTGTTGGCAGTCGTCGCGAGACCGTACGCAGATCGAATCTGCACCGATCTCAAGCTCTGTTAACGTCGGAGAACATGCACAATTTCAGACGCTAATAATACAGTAACGATCGGATTAAATTCTGTAGACTCATTGTTATTCGATCGAATTGCTCTGATTTCCTCGAAAATAGTTGTCGAATGAACGCGTCGATGAAATTTCGTCTGCCGGAAAAATTACGGAACGTCTTTCGCAATCCGGGGGCATTTCGCTCGCAGCAGCCTAATATTATGCGCGTTCCGCACCGGGAAATCCTGGAAGCCTAAACGCAGGCAATACATTTCTCCGTAAACAGTCCCCAAAGGCAAGCGTCGACGGATAATCCGGATGGAACACGGTTGATCTGCCGGCAGTAGCATACGAGGCTAGCTGGTCGATTGTTTTAAACCCCCTCTGCCGCTGTTCTTCTTTCGTACAGTGTCCCCCCCTCT